TTAATACTAATACGAATACTATCACTAATCACTAATACTGATATAATAATAACGGATTTTTGGAAAAAATTTCTAATTACCCAAACTATCTGCTAAATCAAATCTTTTTTATACTAACAAACATAAAATAAACATCTAGATCAATCTACTTTTACTTTAAAAACCTAAATGATTTCGCTCAATTTCAGCTATTATTAACATTAAATTAGTTTCGTCCAAGTTTAGGCCAATTAATTTCGGCAATCTCGGTCATTAAGTAAGGTAGTTTCGGCCACCATCACTAAATAATAGTAAATATAACCAATGAATGATATAGATCAAATGAAACGAATCAAAAATTAGGCGATTCGATTTTCATTGATTCGTTCGGAGCTTTAAGTTAATATATAATTATTAATAAAAGTTTATATGCAATAAAAATACATTTCCCTTGATTTAACAAGTGCCTCGAATAAAAAACTGAAAGAAAAAGAATAACCATGCAAATATGAGTCGCAATTTGCAATCAGGCCTTGTTATGCGGTTCCTTGTCAACATGTAGGGGTCACAAGATGACTGTTGACAAAAACGACAGTTACTGAGAGGTAAATATTTGTAAGTAGAGTTCTAACACCGCCTCAATTATAGCACCATTGCTTAAGCAGCAGCTAAACCAACAATGGTCATCAAATTATGGATGGAATTAAAGAGAATTTTGATTGATCAGATTATCACCAAATGGTTTCAGTTGTTAGCTAATTGATTTATTATTATTAAGAGTAAATTAATCGGTGCATGTTCAAAAACGACCCACCACAACTTATTTTATCAGGGAAATAGTTTGAATTTAAATCACGATTAATAAATATTTTGTTGTGAAACAAAGAATATGAAAACAGTTGTAAGAGATTAGTGACAATGAAAGCATATTTTTTGATACATTAACTAAAGAGTACTGGTTGTCTCTATTCTTTTGCCAGGACCAAAAGCTGGACACGATGTTGTGAATAATGCGAATTTCCTGAAAATAAGTAATTATAATTAGGAAAACCACGTATACTTATATTGACATGGTTAGGTAAAATTATGTAACCACTTACCTAAAGCTGAAAATCCACAATCTGTCATTTAGATACCTCGCCTAAAGAGGTGCAAGAAATACTTCAACAGAAATTACAATGGAATTTTTCAAATACTCATTGTTTTTCTTGTAGCTGTCAAATCAGGAGGAGAATGAACATTGGAGAACAGAGATGATGACAATGATGATATTGAGTTATTGATAAAAATAGCTGGGTGGCAATTATTGACATATATAATCTAATTGTATTGGCAGATTTGGAACTAGAAGCTAATGTTTAAAAAAATACATATAAAAGAAAAGTTTGATTTAGAATATAATACTGCTTTTTTATATTTTTGACCCGCAATATCCCATTCTGGTTTTTTAAACCAATTTTTCTCTGTTCTAATTTTAATTTTTGCAAATCTCTTCATGAGAACTTACCTTTGGATAAAAATCAATTGCCTCGCAAATTTTATTATCTTCTATTTGTAATAAAAAAATTAATTGAATCACGAATTTTACTATCTTCTATTTGTAATAAAATTTTTATTGTGTTATTTCGTATTTAACATTTGATTTTGAGATTATTTTGATTTTTGACATCAGGAAAATTATGTATTATATTAATTATTCAATTATAAAATGTGTGATTCTGAATTGGAGAGAAATTAATCAAATTTTTTAAAATAAATAAATTAAATTAATAATTAATTAATAAATGGTGATTATCTACCCATCAACAATTTACCTAATTCTCCAACTTTAATTTAACCCTTATCAACTACTTATTATTATATTACCATTATCATTATAATTAATTTATAAATAATCATATTAAATTCAAGATTATATTTCATTAATATCAAGGTCACTTAATAAACTATCATTGCTTTTTAAGTTCAATTTGGAAAATTCATCATTTAATATTCGACTTGTATGATATGCTAATGGATGTGATTTGTGAATTTGTTGCAAGTTACTATTATTACCACCACCATCACTATCACTGCTAGTTTCATTAAAATTTTTTGTTTCATAAATTTCCTTTGATTTATTACGAGCAAATTCCCAAAGCTCACTAATAGTTGGTCTCTTGGCTGGATCCACATCCCAACACCTTTGCATCATCCATGCATAATCATCAGGCATTTGTGATAATATTGGTGGACGTAAACCTTCACATATTCTTAATTGCAAATGAAAATCATGCGCCTCATCATCAAATGGTGGATGACCTGCAAATATTTCCCACATTAACATCCCAATGCTATAGATATCAGTTTCTTTTGTATTCTTTGCATTCTTTTTGCCTCCAAGTAGCTCAGGTGCAATATATGATATAATTCCATAGACTTTATTTGATGACTTTTCATCAACTGGTCCACATAATCCTAAATCTGTAATATAACAATTACCTCCTTCTATAAGTATATTACCACTATGTAAATCACAATGGATTAAATCTTTTTCATGTATATAATATAATGAATTGCATAAAAGCCTAAAGATTTTAACTCTGTCTTTTAATCTTAAATTTGAATGATTTTTTTGTAAATAATCTCTTAAATTTCCCTCTATATGATAATTAAGAACTATTGCATAATTTCCATTTTCTGGGAATTTAGTCACACCATAACATTGAACAATTCCATGAGATTGAATTTTACAATAATTCAACGCCTGAAATTATATAAATAAATCAATTAATTTAAAATAAATGGTATAAGTTTGTTTTAAATAAAAACAATTACCTCATCAAAAAAAGGTTTTCCTGGATTATTTGAATTATTTAATGATTTTAATACTACATAATGAGCTCCAAGATAACTAAACTCCTTTTTACTTTCATCATAATCAATTATACTTCCTCTTGCCCGTATAGCCATATAAATAGAACTGAATCCACCTTCTGTTAACTTTTTTACATCATAAAATTGCTCATAAGGTATCCATTCTATAATTCTACCCGGAAGAGATGAAAGCTGTTGACATTTTTGAACAAAACTATCAATTATCTCATTTCCAGATGTCCAAGTACTGAAAAGGCTCTGTAAGTGTAGACTAATACACTTTTCGCAAAATTTATCAGAATATCTTGTTGTTTTACAATTATTACATTCTCTTGGTTCACCATATTTATAAGTTGCATTATCCAATTCGAAATTATAAATAAACCTTTCTCTACAAAATTTCTTTTCATTTTCTAATAGTTTTTGGTTTTCAATGACTAATTGTAAAAAATAACTTTTTCTATTTTCATTGTCGGAAACAGTTGGAAAAGCAGAATAAGCAATACTCTTTATTTCATTAAAAATTTTAACTACTAATTCTTTTCTGTCTTGTGTTAATAGCTTTTCAAAGGACATTTTAACTTTTTTAATATTTTACACTGTATTTCTTTTTGTAAATCTTAGCCTCAATAAGAATCTAATTTTTTGTTTTTCTTCAACATACACAGACAGACTCGATAAGTCAGCCGCATAATTTATACTATTGAGTACTTTAAACAATTGATTACTGCGGGCTGACTTATCGAGTCTGTCTGTGTATTAACATTATAAATGCTTAATGGTTCTCTTGTATGCAGTATCTCACATACAGTAAAAACATTGAATATAGTATAAATGAGTGTGCTAGACTGGCGTAAAAACAAAAAGTAATTCAAATGCAAATTTCATAACCAGCAAGATCTTTTACAGACTCTTTGACGCCGTTTTTCCTTGTTTCATTTAAAATGTTTGATTTGAATTCAGTCAAAACTTTATCCCTTGATTTAAAAAAATAATAATAACCAAATTCAAAGCCCTAGGTAGACTTACCTCAATTGTTATTCTTTGTCAAATATTTCATCACTTATATTTTTAATTTTCTGAAAACAGTTGAAAATTTATTTATGTAAAATTCTTCTAAGTCTGCCAGGACTGTTTATACCATGTTCCATTAATGTCTTGCCAATTATCAGGAAATAGAGATGAATTCCATATTTTTGATGTCACAACGAATATTTGAAATTCATATTTGAATGGTTGTTTCTTTGAGCAGAAAATCAGAATGGAAGAGTTGACCAAAAACTAAATATGAGTTGCAATTTGTAATCAGGTCTCACTCTGCGGTTCCTTGTCACAGTATGTAGAGTGTCGCAAGATGACTGTTGACAAAAACAGAATATGACAACAGAAATGTTCATTTAACATGCTGAGAGACAAGTATTTGTAAGTAGAGTTCTAACACCGCCTCGATTATAGCACCGTTGCTTAAGGTATACTGGGAGCAACTAAAAGAGCAGCTAACCAGCAATGGTCATCAAATTATGGATGGAATTAAAAGAGAATTTTGATTGATCAAATTATCACCAAATGGTTTTGATTGTTAGTTAATTGATTTATTATTATTAGTATAATGATAATAACTATTGTATATCTATTATCTTTAATATATTTGGGAAATGACAATAAGGAACAGTAATATTAAGTGATGTAATAATTCGCCAATAAGGAATATTATTATTAATTCGTAGTCCCTTTAATGAAGGAGTCTAATACAAAGGAAGACTTGACGGTTTAAGAAAAAGATTGTACGGGTCTATTGTCAATATTTAATTGTTTACTTTATAAAGTAATATATATCTTTTTTCCAAGACGTGTAGCGCAATAGCACAAAAACACTTTCATGTTTTACATAGATCTGCTGATTCTGTAAAAACATATGGCCTTTTGTCACTTATGGTAAAAAGTTATGAATGCAAATGATGCTTATATATTTTCTTTAAATGAGCTCAATTCACACAAATGCAAAGATCTAAAACAAAAGTAGGGTGATGGTTATTCGAGTCGGAATATAAAAATCACATAGAACAAGAAGTTGTAAAAAAACAAATGCAAGTATTATTGCATTTAAAGGCTAATAACTTATAAATTGGACGATAATTTATTGGCTCTTTAGTTTCATGATCAAAATGTATTCAACGCAACAATTCAATATTAATAATCCTTGTAGGTGAATATGGATATGGGCCTTTTAATAACGAAATTAATTATGTTTGGTTATGAAAAAAAAACAGCTATAATTAAATAAGAAAATATTTGTATTTAGCTTTTGACTTTTTCTTGGTAGCCAATTTTTAGAGAATCTTTCGTTATTCTTTTTTTACGAGTTTCCAATATGTAACTGCTGATATTCAAATGTTTAAGTGGCAAAAGAGAAATTTTTTTGTAAACGTGTTCATCTAAAGATATATAATTGCAATAAATACATCATTTGTTTATTATTAATTAGGAAATGACTTTACATTGCAAATTCCATTTTTATATTACAACGCTAAATTATATTTATTATAAAGAACACGTACCATCTTTTATTAAAAAACCTCTCGTGTAGCCGAAATACACGTAATTTTGAAATGATTACGAATGTTTACAAATGTTAGATTTACGCATTTTAGTTAGGAACACATGTATGTGTTTTAGGAGCACGGACCATTCGCCTCCTTGAATATCTTTTAACACATATAACACATATATTAATATCCTTATTTGGTTTTTTTTGTTGTAGCCAAAAAAAAAGGTTTTCCATTATAAGTTGAACGTGTATTTAAACACAACTCTAGGATCATTATTTTCATACCAAAATTTGTAGGATTATGCCACGACTGTTATCCTCATAATAGTCCTTTAAATCATTTGCAATTATTAATAATAAAGATAGTAAGTAATACGTATGCATGAAAAAAAAAACAATATAACGGACAAAGGAAAGTGAATGAGCGATAGGAATAGGAAGGATAAAGAATGTGTTAATTGTGTGAAGCTAATAATGGTACTTACCCTCATCAACTAGATAATGAAAACAAGAATTCCAAATGAATAACAACTAATATATGATAGAAGAAAGTGCGGTTTAAAAAAAAAAAGAATTGAATTGAAGAGAAAAAAGTACAAGTTAGTCGGCGTTATAAACAGTATACCCTTAAACATAATATTCTCTGCTCTGATAACTTTTAAAATTGACTACTATCCTCGCAAAATGTGCGCGGATAAAGCCCCGAAAATTATTATAGATGGGTTACTGCCGCAACTCGGATAATAATTATGAAAAATCACCAACTTTGGAGGGATTTTCAATCACTATTGCTATATAGTAATAGTAGCTACGTTCTTTCCCGATCTGGAAAATGTTTTGATTCTGACTCGTCTAATTTAAGCAAACAATAAAGTTTTTTTAAGTGATTGTCCGGGATTTCCAAAAAAAAAATTTTGAATTATGGATCTGCAAATTATTTTATTCTACTGCTCTTTTGAAGGTAAGGAGGTTTATATGAATTTTTTGTTCCTTTAATAATTCCTCTTTTTGCCAAGTATGAATTTTGATTTCCCCTTTCTGCTATACTTTCTTCGTCTTAATGGTGACAACGACATCGTTTGCTTTTTTTTTTTGTATTAATTTGATTTTGCATATAGTCTAATAATAATGAACCCTAGTTTTCATGGTGACCTCCGAATATGAGATATCACGCATTAATATTAATATATATTATTTACATATGAGGGGTTTTTAAATAGAAAAGGGTCATAATGCAAAAATGCTACCACTATATACAACTTTTTATTTAGGATATGTTTGGATTAGAAAGCATACCCATTTTGCATAATAAAATTTTGAGATACCTTTCTTGAAATTTCAAAACCAATAATAAAATTCCTTGAAATGCAGATCTTATTTTAAAAATCTATTTTTACCAAAGTTCATTTATTCCGGGGTCACATTCTTGTTTATTCGGCCTTTTGGAAATGTTCAGGAAGATCACACAACAAATTTGCCACAAATAAATAGATATATATGTTCTAATTCGAATCAATTAATACTATTATACTATCATAAAACTTTCAACTTTAATTTTTTATTCAATTAATATAAATACTAACGGTAAAATATTTTGTGTAAAATAAAATTTTCAACTTTAATTCCACATTTTTAATAATTAATTGAAAAAACAAGCAAAATAAAAATTAATAAGCTAATTATTTAAATTAAAATGAAAGAAACTAAATATCAACAACCTAAACAACAAAGACAACGACAAAAATATTATTCTGAAAAATCTAATAAACATTATAATAATAGTAACAATAGTAATAATATTAGTAATAATATTATTAGTAGTAGTAATAATAATAATAATAATAATAATAATAATAATAATAATACTCCTTCTAATAATAAACGCCGTAATAATCACCATAACAATCATGGCATTGATCATAATAAAATAGTCGAAATAGTCGAAATAGTTGAAATAGCAGAATTCACAGATGACACGTTCGAGGAATTTCTTTTAAATAATAATAGCATCACTACTTTTAAAGAATTAAGACTTTATGAAAATCAAATAAAGAGATTTTTCAACCATCATAGACAATTAAAGGATGAAAACCAATTATTAACGGAGGAAAATTTGGTTTTGGTTGACACAAATATTAAATTGGAATTGGAAGTTAGTAAACTTAAAAACGAAATTAATGAGCTCGAAGATAATAAATTTCAATTAGTGCAAGATATCTACAACAATATTAAAAATAAACATAACGACAACCTAATGCTGATAAAAGAACAAATCGAATCAGAAGCAATCGACAAATCAATCATCAAAGAAATCAATTCGTTACATTGTAAGATTGCTAAATTCGTGACTTCTTTAAAGCAAGAAGACATGGTTTCGGTTCAAATTAAGGAAGTGCAAAAACTTTTATCCGAATATGGATCTGAGACTAAGATTTATTCATTAAATGACTTACCTATCATGAGCGCAATTTTACAAAGATCGGTGTTTGATCATGTTAACACATTCATTCTTAATTACTTCAATAATAGTCATGTCGATGATGATCAAGATGATCATAATCATGATATAGATGAGATAAAATTTGATGATTTTAACATAAATTTAGAATTGGAAGTTAACAACAAAGCCAAATCATTGCTAAATTCGCTCGATTTATTAGCTAAATCAAGATATGGTTACAAGCATAATAGTGCAAGAAAAGACAATGAACCTATTGATGATGAAGAATGGTTGAAGGATGAGAGAAACTTACATTTAAATATTAACAAGATTCTAAATAAAGTTGGATTTAATTATCTTTACAATAGAAATAATATTAATAATCATAACGACGACGATTCTTCTTCATATTATCCTTTCCACAATTATTCTGCTTCATCTTATATCGAACATCCATTCATCAAAGATTGTCAGCAATCGTTAATCAATCATATTTTGAAATATAGAAAGATTAATGATCCTTTAAAACAGTTAGAGTTTAGCAATTTATCAAAAGAAATAGTTTACGACTTCATTAGACTAATATATTTTAATCCAAAGGAAAAAATCGAATTCATTTGGATCCCAAATAGTTTTCATTTGGATTTGAGATTAATGAAAATTTTAAATAATAATTATAATTTGGACAATGATGACAACATTACATTTGACAATTATTTGGTTGATTTTTGTAGTTTTCCTTTATTTGGCAAAAACTTATACGATTATTCAAATGATAATAAATATTACACTTTGGCACAAATTTATCCAAAGAAAAAACATTTTTGATCAAATTTTTTTGTGTAGATTTTATTTATTTTTTTAGATGTTTTTTTAGATTTGTAAAAATACTTTTTCATTTACAATAAACAATTTATTGATTATTTCCATTTATATTATATTATATCACGTTACACGTAAATTTCATTGTAAATATTTATATATATTAATATATATATATTAATATCTTGTTTCCCATTCAACTTGTAAAAAAAAAAAAATGGATATAACAACCACATTACCAATTAATCCCACCACCATCGCTACCGATACAGCTTCTACTTCCACATCTAACAATGCTACCACAGCAACCTCTTCTACTAACGGAAAATTTCCCTCGGTGGAAGGACGCGATCCCGCTTATTTTTCATACTATGCCATGCTCCAGCATCAGGTGGTTTACAAGCACTCAAGAACCTCTTTTATAGTTGCAACAAGTCAATCATAATAATATAATAATAATTAAAAAAGAATTATTATATAAAATTGATGTTAATATTAAAATCCCCCCCATTCCTGGTCTACTTTGTTGTTAAATAGTGAGTTTTTTATTTTAATAATAATAATAAATAAATAAAAAATAAATATAATATATCACAGCAAAACATGCTTCAAGATACTGTACGTACTTCGACTTACCGTTCAGCCATATTGATAAATGGTCCAGCGTGCTTTCAAAATAAATTGATTTTGGACGTTGGTGCTGGTAAATTATCATTCATTATTTATATATTTATTTATATAATATATATATTTTTATGATTATTTATTAATAAAATGGGGCTTTTTTTTTTTAATAACAATGATAAAATAATAGGATCGGGGATTCTATCGTATTTTGCGGTTCAAGCAGGCGCAAGCAAGGTCTATGCTATAGAAGCTTCTCAAATGGCCGAAAAAATGAAGAAAATCATCGATGTTGCAAATTCTTCTGATTTGAATTCCTTGGGTAAAAATTCATTTTTGAAAAATAAAGTTGAAGTGATTCAAGGTTTGTATATCATGATGGTGATAACATTATTATAATAGTTGTTGATATTTTTTATTAAAAATAATACATATATATATGTATGTATGTATGTATGCATGCATGTATGCTAATAGCAAAAATCGAAGACTCAAATTTACAAATTCCACAAGTTGACACCATAATTTCTGAACCAATTGGTGTTTTATTAATACATGAAAGAATGGTAAGACGGTGATGGTTAAATAACGAGTGTTAAACTTTCAAAACAATATAAATTTATTATTAATGCTATTTATTTCATTATATATATATATATATATATATATATATATATACAAAGTTGGAAAGTTATTTGTATGCAAGAGATCATTATTTGAAACCTGGCGGTTCTTTATTCCCATCAAGTGGCACAATCCATTTGGCACCTTTTACCGATGCTGCTTTGTGGAGCGAAACAATGGGAAAAGCTAGATTTTGGGAACAACAATCATTCTATGGTGTAGACCTTTCCTCGTTATACTCGGATGCAAAAGATGAAATGTTTGGTAAGAAATTAGCTTTTATTATTTTTATCATGTATATTTTATGCTGCCGTTACCACTATTACTAATAATAACAAAAAAAAAAAAAAAAAAACACAAAAGGCATGCCCGTTGTTGGTTGTTTCGATCCACGTACTTTGATTGCACAACCTACTCCTTGTGGATTTCCCATCGATTTCTATACAGTAACGTTGGAAGAACTTCAAGATTTAACAATACCTTTTTACTGGCAAGCATCCTACACTGGTATCATTCATGGGATAGCAGGATGGTTTGATTTGTATTTTACTCCGCCACCATTCGTCATTCCACAAAGCGGTCAAATATTCATGTCGACCAGTCCAACATCAGAGCGCACTCATTGGCAACAAGTCAGATTCTTGTTGAAAGAACCATTGGCTGTCAATGCTGGTCAGACCATTCAAGGTTGGATGAGATGTGTGGTCAATGACATGCGTTCTTATACTATAGAAATTGAAATTTTAGCTGGTGATGGCGGTGTTGGTCAACAACAACAACAACAACAACTATTATCTAATCCAAAACTACCTCCTTCTCCATCATTAAAAATGGACTATAATCGTAGACGGGGTAAATGGAGATTGCATGAGCAAACTTACAACTATACTTATTTTCCCCAACAAGCTGATTCCTCTCTTTTTAAACCGGAATATAATTGTCTTTATGAAATTGACCATCAACAGCCACCGTTGCCTCCACCATTACCACCACCACAACAGTTGTTGTCATCAGATTTAGACGTTACTGTGTTGGTAGGTGATAACACCGCTGCTACTATTAATACTTCTACTGCCAGCAATACTAACAATAATAATGATGTCGAAGGTAATAATAATTTTGTAGATGGTAGTTTTATTATTTAAAATTCTTTTTTCATAGACTATTTATTTTATTGTCACCTTTATATTCTACCTTTTTTTATATTCTATTTTATTATTATTATTTCTATATTCTTATTTTTTTATTTTTACGTCTTTATATTCTATTTTGTATTATTTATAAAAACAATTTTTATATTTATAGCAAAGTAAAATAAAATAAAAATAAAATTTTATAGCAAAAAAAAATTATTATATATATTATAATGCAAGCGATTAATTACAATCAATAATCCCAATAACTCGACAGTTTACAAATGGTTTTTTAAATTTTTTTAAATTGATAAAACCAATCTAGGTGAAATATTCATTGCCATTAATTCTTGAAATAACATTTTACATGCATATGGTATATGAACTTGCGACACCTAAAAATATAGTCAAAAAAACCAGTTTAGTTTATTATATTAATTATATTTAAAATAATGATGATGAAATGATGAAATACCAACCATTGTAGTGTTCTTACAGATTTTACATTCATGTGTATTTTTTTTGATTCTTGCAATCGCCATCAATCCGCAAATGTCACATACAAATATTCTAAATGTATCAGATACATCAAACAATCGTTCCTAAATCATGACAATAAGATGTTTTCACATGTAGTAATAAATAAGTAAATATATATATATATATATATATATATATATATATATTACATACACATACATATAACAAAACAAAACAAAAAAACCAAAGAAACCTTTAGAAACCCTGCAGTGCCATGAGAAATCATACAATCCCTCTCCATCTCACCAAATCTTAATCCACCATCACGTCCTCGTCCTTCAACCGGTTGTCTAGTTAGTATATTAATAGGTCCACGTGCTCGAGAATGTATTTTATCTTGTACCATATGCTTTAATCTCTGATAATATGTTGGTCCGATAAATACTGAAGCTTGCAATTTTTGTCCAGTGTATCCATTATACAACACTTCGTATCCTCGTTTTTGATAACCGTGTCCTTCAAGTTGTAATGATATTTGTTCAACTGTTAAATTGGTAAAAGGTGTTGCGTCTCCCTCAACACTTGACAACGCGCTAAGCTTGCCCAACAAACATTCAATCAAATGACCAATTGTCATTCTGCTTGGTATAGCATGTGGATTTATAATGATGTCGGGCGTAATACCTTCCGTTGTAAAAGGCATGTCTTCTTGTCTATAAATCATCCCAATAACACCTTTTTGTCCATGTCGACTAGCAAATTTGTCGCCTAGTTCTGGAATCCGCGTATTTCTAACTCTGATTTTAACTAGTTTTGACCCTTCTTGGTTAGTTGTAAGCATGACTTGATCAACAATACCCGACTCGTTTGATCTTAACGGTGTCGAGATATCTTTGTATTGGTGCATTGGAGTTCTTTGTCCTAACACAGTATTGTCAGCTACCAACGGAATCACCTTGCCTATAATCACATCGTTGACACTTACAGGCCACCCAGGTGATACCAATCCATCCTCGTCCAACTTTTCATAGTTGCCATGTTTAAAACTTATTGTGGTGTCAGGATTTGGTTTGGTAAACATTTCAACGTTCAAAACACCTTTCTCCTTTTCCTGATCACTAAAACTTCTATAACTAAAGCTCCTGAACATCCCTTTATCAATACTACTTTGATTAAAAATAATCGAATCTTCCTGGTTGTAACCCCCGTATGATAATATGGCGACTATGGCATTTTGTCCTGCTGGCAATTCATGGAACTTCATTATTTGCATACCTTTTGTTGTAACAAGAGGTTTTTGAGGATAATATAATATATTTCCTAGCACGTCCATTCTGAATTGGAAGTTTGTTGCATAAACACCCATTGCTTGTTTGGTCATTGCTGATTGATATGTATTACGTGGTGACTATAAAATTGAAATTAAATAAACCAAATGAGTAAAATAAAGCAACACATATACACATATCTATTAACATCTAGTTAATTTATCATTTACCTGGTTATGATCAGGAAAAGGTATAAGGTTTGCACAAATTCCCAAAATCATACTAGGATGAATTTCACAATGAGTCCATTTACTACTGTACTTTGGTAAAATTTTTAACCTCTCGTCTATTTTGTTTTCTTTTTTCGGTAATAGCATATTATTAAGCTTATAAACATAATAGTTTCTTGAACCTTTTAGATCTTCTGGTGTCATACATATCAATGATATTTCCTCCTCTTCTGCATCAAGATACTCAATTAAATGTCTCGTCACTAGTCCTTCGAATGTTGATGGTTCATCATAAATGTTCGAATTATTCGACACCTTTTAATTATTATTATTAAATTTTATATATAGATTATAACGTCATGGTTATAATAATAACAATGATAAAAAAAGGTAACAATAGCTTACACTTCTTTCCAATCTTTTAACATCATCATGTGTTATAAGTAATCTGCTATCTTTTACAACAAACAAAGGTCTACAAACTCTACCAGGATCAGTAAATATTCTCAACTCCCTATCACGGTAATCATGAACTATGCTTATATCAGGTGAAAATTCACTCCCTCTAACAAATTTCAATGAATTTTCAATTTCAGTTGGATAAAGTGACACTCCAACCCAATTACCATCAACAAAAACTTTTGTGTAATCTTTCATATTATTTAAACCATCAAGTTCATCAGTACGTGTAATTGATTCGAGATCACATAAATGATTGTATATCACATCCGAAGAGTTACCAACTGATATACAAGACATGAGTGAAAGATTTTTCATTAAACCACAAGCCAAACCCTCGGGTGTTTCTGCTGGACATATTAAACCCCAATGAGTATTGTGTAATTGACGAGGTCTAGATAATTTCCCCTCGCGACTTATTGGTGTGTTACATCTTCTTAGATGTGACAACGTTGACACGTATGTGAATCGATTTAATACTTGTGAGACACCTGATTTTGACTATATATAAATCAAAAAAATTTATTCATTAATATTTCAAAATGATATAATTGTATTTTTTGAGTGATACATATATATTACCTGCATTGTTTTTGATTGCTGACCCCAATTACCAGTTCCAAGTGAATACTTTAAACCATTTGTGATTGTTTCGGCTCTTATACCCAAAGCTATATTAAACTCTTTATTAGGGTTATTAAAAACCTATAAACACGCACATATAAATATAAATGGATGTTTATATTATTTTTTTTATAACATTCATTTTATTTATAAATTAATCAAATAATGACCTTTTGAAGGTAATCATGTAAATCTTTGATTAATCGTTTAAACAAAGTTTTAAACAGTTGAGCTAATAATGGACCTGCCATGTCTAATCTTTTTTTACCCATATGATCTCTATCATCCGCCTCTCTTCTCCCCAGTGCACAATTTAACAATTTATTCGTCATATATCCTAGAAACCAGGATTTTCTAGAATTATCACTATAACGTGTTCCTACATGTGGTAAAACTTCATTGAGCAAAATATTTTTTGCGTAACTAATTTCAAAACCAAGAGCAAGAAAATAGATAGGTAAGTAAAGTAGGAATGAATGAATGAATGAATAAATGAATGAATGATAGATTGATTTAATAAATTTATAATCAATGTTTATTGCATACTGTATACGCTCTTCCATGGTAAGTCCTATACGTGATCCTCTACGACCAATTAAATCTAATGCATGCTATGTATGTGCGCGCACACACGTATACATTTTATTATATGTACGTACATACACATGTGATAATGATTTTTTTTTTAAAAAAAAAAACTATACCTACATCTTGATCTCGAAAACCTGAACCTTCTTCAAGACAATTAATAATAATTTCAGCCATCTCTTCATCATTTTCATCGTAGCAGATTTGTGAATATATCTCCTTTTCTTCTAAGGATCCAAGTGCACAAAATAAAACCTTTATAGGGATATCATTCTTTATAAATGGAATTGACACGTGAATGTGTTGACTTGGAGTCTAATTTACAAATAAACAACCAATAAACATATAATACATATCAAACAAAAATAGTGTTTATTTACAAAATCATTATAAATGTATAATTTACTTACATCACGAACAACAGATTTTGTTACCAAATTGAGTGATATAGTTCGTACTTTCTGGTATTTCTCGGAAACACTTCTAATCTCGGCTGAATATGTGCAAGTTGGCGGAGTAAATTTTTTAAATACAAAAACTATATTGTTTGCAAGTCTTTCTTGAGCAATTATAACCTTTTCTGATCCATTTATAATAAAATATCCTCCCTAATATGAATTAATAGATAATGTGTTAGAAAAATTTATTTAACAATCAAATAAAATATAGTTACAATTATGAAGATATTTAACCTGATCGTAAGGACATTCTTTTTTACTAATCAATTCTTCTTCACTCAAACTATACAAGGAACATGCTTGCGATTTAACCATTATAGGAATCTAAATTTTAAGTAATAGCAACGATGTGTAAATTATAAGATTCAATAATTACTATTATTTTGATTAATTTCATGGTGAATACCTTTCCGATGAATACATTAGTCCAATCACCGACAGATTCTTCAACTTTTCTCTCATTTACGCCACCATCAGTTTCTTGATCTTCAATACATTCAAACGTTTCCAATGTCTGTCTGAAAAAAAGATAAAATGGAGCGGCATAACTAATTATAATTGAAACTGTAGTAGTTATTATCATTATCATTAATATGATTATGATTCCAAAAGAGAGAGAGAAAGGGAAGGTGTGATACTAACGTAATACTTCTAAGACGTGCCTCGTGTGGAAATAATGCGTGCATGCTTCCATCAGATTCGATGAAGCTCGGTTTAGTCAAACTTAAATTATTTAATTCAATACAAATACGTTTCTAAAAGAACCAAAAACAGCAAATAATGACTATTTTTTAAAAAATTCCTCCATATAATTCAATAATATTATTGCAAATAATATATATATATACACCTTTATTACAATTCCATTATCATCAATAGATTTTTCTACTGTAATAGGAGGAGATGCTTCAATTATATCTTGTAAATTATTTAAAATAAATTCATCAAAGGAATCTAATTGTTGACTAACAATTCCTTTCTCATTGAAAAATGAATAAATCACACCCCAACATTCTTCCTGTGTAAGATCAGGCCCGTCGTCATTTGTTTCTTTTTTTGTTATTTTTTGAAGAGGAAAGGTTATTATTTGTGGTGTAAACAACAAAAAAAAAAAAAGTTCCAAAATTACTTTTTTACTTTGTTTAATAATAATGTAATTGTCGTTTTTTAGCTGCTGTTATTACCTTCATTTATAACCGAAAATGATGTTTGAGACTCTAAAATATCCTGTAAATCTGAACAGCTTTCAAGACATTGACTATTGTCATTAGAACCTCTGTAATTTTGAAAAGCTTCATCAGAAAAAGATAACGAGTCGGATAATAATAAATTATCCAGCGAAAATTTGATTTGGTTTATATCTTGGTCCATTATTTTTTTTTATGAATTTTTGAACAAGAGAAATTTTTTTTTTTAAACATAAATTACCTTTATAATTATAATGTTGATTATTAAGCAATTATGTCATTATGATTTTTATTTAACAGTAAATCAAACTTTTTTTTTAAAAAAAAAATTTGTGTTTGAATTCTTTTTAAATTTTAATCAAAGGCTATATTGATGTGAAAATCATAGTAATTCTGTATCACATAAAAATTTACAAGTTGCACAAATTACATTTTCTCAAATGCAATAGTTTACGCGTTTTTTGTTATCAAGTAATGACTTCTCAAGAGCCCTATACTTTTGATTTTGAAAACATCATTCTTTTCAAGAAGTAGTTCTATAGGTATTGTTTTGGCATGGTGTGGATAGAGTACACTGAGAGCTTTCAGAAAATATATAGTTTGCAAGTTTTTTGGGGAGAAAAAGTTAAGTGCAAAAATATTATTAATGCAAAGTTACAACCCGTTATTATTATAATGACATCTTAGTATAATAGGAAAACTAATCAAAATCATTCTGAAAAATCGTCCATGTCAAACAAAGCATTGATTAAATAATCAATAGGTTACTTCCTATTATAAAATTGTAATTTTAATTTTAATAAAAAAATATTAACGATTTTTTGTTTTAAAAATGAGTTCGATCTCTGCATCTAAAAGAACCTCTTTAAGTGCTTCGCAAAAAAAAAAGAACTATGTGTGTGCTGAAAACGATCCTAGCTTAACTCTAGATAAATTAACTAAAGTTGGTCGAAGCGCAATTTCAGTAAACAGAGGCCAAACAAATCAGTTATAATCCTCACGTGACTCTTATACGAACATCTGTCCGTCAAAATGAATGACTATTACTCTATTTTTATACTGACGCACGGGGAGTGTCATTATAACGAGCGCGACTTGTATTAATATTATCAATATTTTAATTTATAATTTATCATTATCAGCTGTAAAAGATACTTTTCTTTTCAATTGTTTGTGCAATAACCATTTATTTCTAAATCATCAACTTCAGAATTTTTTAAATGGTCCAAAAATACGTCAGGACTAAATGTAGTATTACCAATTCTTTCATGGAGCACTCATCATGCCGAATATTGGATTGTTGCATTATTTTTATTTTGTCATGAACAATTATCTGCATTAATTATTCTTTCTTCTTCGCCAAGGCCATACAATTCATGCACTAAATATAAGCTCCTTTGCCAACAAATTATATTAATTTCACATATAGTTGTTTGCCATATTTTCCTTTCTTAATATATGACTGTTTCTGTATCTGTCTGTAATAATAAAACGAATAATTCGAATAAGAATTTGTATTACAAACAGAAACTCTACATTAATAACAATAGCAAAAAAGTAATGTAATTTACAGTTGCATGATTCATTGTTTTAAGTTAAATAATATCAATATAGATTCGAATCGAATGAAACGAATCAGAAATTTGGTGATTCGGTAGTTTATGTCACTAATTTTAGTGTATAATGAAAACACAAAAGCTTTTCGTAAAAAATTATGGAAGCTTTATAATATCAATATTGATTGATTAAGTTACTTTACAATGATAATCCATCTTTATTTTTATCCTGATTGTAGTGATCAATGAAAATTTCATTAAGAATAACTTCTGGTCTTTGCTTGAAAAAGAATAACTTCAGATTCTCGCAGAGAAAAATAATAGATAATTAACATTCTAAGATTCTGCAATAGAATCATTATTTTTATTAAATAAAATTAATTGCCAATAAACTTTTAATAATAAAACTGTCCTTATTTTCTTTTGTTTAAAGCGCTTTGATAAAAGCAACAAGTGTAGTTAGTGCCTTGGTAAAAGGTAACAATTGTGGAGCTTTGGTAAAAGCCACATTTATTTGATTTAGTAAGTAAGCAAAGTTTTGGACTCGTCTAGGTGCAAGAAAGAATAAACTCATAAACTAATTAGTTGAATTATTTGCAATTAACTGACAAGAGTGGTCCAAAAGTTAATCTATAATTGTTAATTAACCAAAATGACACCTCACAACATCACCATTTAACAAGAACCAAAAAATTAGGGATGTTAATCAGTCCTTTGGGACTGAACTGTTTCAGGTTCAGTCCTACCATTTGGGACTTAAAGTCCCTATAAGTCCGTGTGTAACATAAATATTTAAAAAAAAATTTCACATGATACATAAATTTTTTCAAAATGTCATCATCAATTTGAAAATAGCTTTGAAGTCAATGGTGAATTTGATCTTTACAAACCAAATTGAAGCACAACAACAATCACAACCTTTTGTTTTTATTAATGGCAATGATGAAAATATTGATGATATATTGTATTCAGAAAAATATAATTTATCTTTAGAAGTCACATCAATAAATTCAACATCAACATGTAGTTATTTTAAAAGATCATTTCAAAATCATTATAATCAATCAACTTCAAACAATGAATTTATAAAAAGATATTTAGAAATGCCAGAAGAAGTAAAATTGCCTGGATTGGGTATTCTACAAGATTTAAAGATCCTAATTATACTGTTTTGTCACATATGGCTCATGATTTTTTTTCAATACAATCAACTAGTGTGTTAAGTGAGTCAGCTTTTAGCATAGCTAAACACACACTAAGTCCAGTTCATAATAGATTGGATCCTGAAAAGGCATGAACAAGTTTATGCCTTAAAAGTTGGATTGAAGCAAATATTGTTTCAATATAAAATATGTTAAATATATTTAAAATTTTTTAATATATTTTTTTTTTTATATTTACAAACAACATTTATAATAATATATTTTTTTTTAATATAATTTTTTTACATTTACAAACATTTATAATAATAAAATATATAAATAAAAATAAAATATATAATAAAAATATATAATAAATATACTGTTTGAAAAATGGATGAGGACTTTTTGGGACTTTTTCTAGGACTTTAAGTCCCAGGACCGGACCGGACTGTTCGGGACTGATTAACATCTCTACAATTGCACGAGGTAGGGTCGATCCTTGAGTTTTGTGGACGGTAGGTGTGAATGCATTTTGAAGAGGTAATTGTTTTCTTGAGGTTCTCTTTCAAAATAATTTCTTTCATTCTGACCAATACTAGAATATTTGTGGAAAAAGAAAGAAAATCAACTATTAAACATGCCATTTTGTAGGCTTCATTGTTTCGTTGTACAGATTGAATTTTATTTTAAAATAAAGATACAAATAGAATGAAGTTACATTCAATGAATATATTTTTAAAGATGAAAATCATTATCTTATGCTTTCGATCGTCGATAAATTAATAATAAAACCGGAAAAATCTTGTAAATCAGTGCTCCTAAACAATTCGTGAAATGATTTGATTTGTCGTATATAGTACAAATTTATTACTTCATTTTCTTTAGTAATTGCAATATATATTTTTTGAAAAACCAAGATTAGAAAATGTTGCAGGAGACAGAAAACTTAAAAGATAATCCGGTTGAAAACTACTTTAAAAAGTATATTAATATAATAATTACATGTTATAACGAGTAACATATATGTATGTGGAAAAATTTCATAGTTGTTGACACAAAAATGAAATTAGTATTTGTTACACTTTATAGCAAACAAAACGAAATTAGTGTTTGTTACCACTCTGTGAAATTAATGTTATAGCAAACAAAACAAACGAAGTTAGTCAGTCATTTGATAATCTGAATATAAATAATGTCACAACGCTTTTTTTATTTGGTCATAATAATTAATGATAAATCTCTCCTGACGTTTTATTTGAAATATTTTTCCTAAATTTGCTCATTATTATCACAGTACTTTCTCTTTCGAATGTGTCAAAAATGATAATATCTGATTTTTAACAATATATGTATGGATGATAGATGATATAGGAAATCACAACGCATTATTTTTCCAAATTTGGTTATTGTTGTCACCGCGTTTTCTTGTTGGACTCGCATTAAATCATTACTTGCATTTATTTTTCATTGAATATTTTAATATCTTATTATTATGATAAATTTATAAATAAGTTTATTATTGTTTATATAATAATAATTAATATTGTTGAATATAATCAATGGCGATTTATCGAGTTTAACTGTGTACTTTTCATGATAGTTCCAATAATAATTTTAGCAATTAAAATTCATTTTGTAATATAAAATGGAAACTCAATAATAAATTTATTTATCTTATTCAGTTGAAATACATATATCTATTTTAAAAAATAAGCCTTATCGCATGTAAGTCTTTTATTATATGAACAATCGAATCAATAGATTCTGTATTTTTTTTATATTATAATATTTTTCGTTTTATCTATTATAGAATAATAATAAAAATCAGCCATTAATCTTGTAATTGGTTACAATATTACAATTTTTTATACTTACTATTTTTATCATTTACATGTTAGAGTTTCTTTTGTTGTTTTATGTAAGCTTTTATATGTTTCTGCTGAAAACAATAGAAAATGCAATTTTTAAGATCAGATTTAGAATAATAAGGATATAGAAATATGTGCTCATTCAAACATTTTATTTGACAATTGTGTTAAAATCTCTTTGGTGAAGCCATCCCTTTGTAAAGATAAATAGGCTTCCATTCTAATCTGAAACAAATGATTGATTATTTGTATTTTCTTTTTTCTATTTTTTATTAAAAAAAAAAAAAAATAGGAAAAGTTGACAAGAACAAAATCATTCATCTTATTCATATTCCGTTATATTAACCATTTTCAATTCCATCCAGAGATATAAAAAAAGAGCTTTCTAATGACGTTGACAACTTACTCAACGTGTTTAGTAATGTTAGAAATACTTTGTAAGGAGAGCACTGTCCCAATTGAAGAAGGAACCCTAATAACTTGGAATATCTATCAAGATGTGAAATTTTTATTTAAATTTACAGCCAATTACTATCTTTTAAGCAAATTGAGGAATGTCTACTTGATACAAGTAAAGAGATTATTATAGATTTTTTTGTCGTTAGACAATTTTCTTTT